TGGGATTGAGTTGTTGCCCAATCCAATTTATTTTTCTGGTCATTGGCCCAATAACTGAATACAAACACATCGAGTAACTGAGGTTAACACTATTTCTGTATCTCAGTCTCGATGAGTAACAGATGATGAAAGGATTTGATTACACGATAATCATATCATTGTTAGGTAGCTATTTCGTTGAATCCGAATCTATCAAGTGGCCATGATGCCTTACTAGGGGCCAATCTTGGTTTATATATAGTGAAACGATTAATTAGTGTTAATTGCGATACTACTCACTGCCGGTATGATGAGGAGCCCACATGTCACACACTTAGAAGATAATTTAATAATCATTTTGTGCAAGGGATATTTTCATCTTTTAGGACAAAAGGGTATTTTAGTAATCTCACAGTGCAATTAAATTTGCTGAGGTTGTTGCCTATATTTAATTTAATGTTAAAATTAAATTAATGAGATTATATTTAAATATATGTACCATATATTTGAATGAATTATTATTATTAATTAAATGTTAATATATTTTATAAATATATTAATTGATTTTAATTATAATAATTAATTAAATATAAAATACCATAACAAGGGTGTTTGGATACAAGGGTGGATTAGGGTTAGAGCCCTTGTCTATTCCTTAGAGGAATAGGGTTTTGACAACTTGCACTATATAAGTGCAAGTTGTGTTAAAGAAATCATTCATTCTTTTATTAAAAAGAAAGAAAAGCAGCCCCCTTACAACCTTCTCTCTCACGTTCTTCCCTTGGTTTGGAATCAAAGATTTTTCTTTAATTCAACTTGATTCTTGAAGCCAATTAGTGGATCTAGCAAATCCCTCTTTGGTTCTTCGGATTGTCTTTGTGTGGATCATCGTTCATTCAGTTTTACGTTGAATCGGTAGCGAAGTAAATTCAGAGACATGTGAAGGAGCCTTCAAATGTGCGTAAGATTACTAACACTTCCTACCAGACCCCATTGCCAGCTCAGCTTGACAAGATGAGCATTGGCGCTCAAATTATTTGGCTGCTTGGTTTAAAGCATATATGTTGGAATGAGATTAGAAAGGCAATAAAGGCTTGCAAAAAGGCAAATAATTTGGTGCTTGAAGCTAAAAACTTTCGAAAGTTCACCGACAAAAAGAGGTTGAAATTGGTAGATAAAATTTATGTGATTGGAAACTTTCGCCAGTCTGACAAGTGCCTTCTCATTTAGTGTTTGAAGCAAAAAGAACACATAATAGCAATGGTTGGAGTAAAAACAAACGAGACTCCAACACTAAAAGAAGCTAATGTGGGGATTGCTATGGGCACTTGGAGGAGTGAATTGGCCTGAGAGAGTTCCTTGGTTACCATTTTTAGCTATGGAAGAGGCGCTTATGACAATATTCAAAAGCATATCCAACTTGAGATCATCATTATTATTGTAGGGTTATTGATAACCACTATCACAACAGTTGTTGCCAGGATACCTCAATTACAACAATTCCCATCCTTCCACCTTGAGGACAAGGTGGTACTTCTCAGGAAGGGTAATGATTAGACCCCTAATATGCTAGTCTATTGTAGGAGACATAAGGGTGTGAAGTAAGGGATTTTATGTAGTGGACAAGAGGGTTCTTTGTGCGTGAGAGGTTAAGGATGGTTTAGGGAGGAATAGATAGCATTAAGGGAGTGGGTGTTTGAAAAGTTCTGTTATGAAGAGAGACATCATTAGAATAAAAGGATAGACAGTGAGATTTGGGGGGATATTCAAAAAAGAGAAAATTGGAGAGTGGGAGGTTGCTGGCCCTCGAAGACCAACATTATTATTTTTTATTTCTTTTGTTTAAGTATGTTGTTCCTTTTGATTGTGTTGTTGGGTAGTGAATATTGATTGCTAAGTTTAATTCTTCTGTGTATTTGGTTTACTAGAATATAAATAGACTTGACTGTTATTTTTTGGGTTTGGCTATTGTTTGTTGTTAATTTTCTGGGTTGAGTTTGAGTGTTGTTTATGTTATTGTTGCGGTTTGATTGAGTATTAGAAGGTACCTTAACAAACTTCATGAAATTGAAGTAGAACCTTATTACCACTATCTGAAACTCATACAAAAATTTAGGACCTCAATATTTTAGGGGAAATAATCCTTGTCCTATCATTAATTCTTTTATGATCTTTAATAAATTAATGCCGAAACAAAAACTACTCAAATTTTACATACTTCTATAATACATAATCATAGTATTACAGTAAAAATTACAAGTTATTTAGAGTTCAAAAACCTCTTCAAGCAATTGGCATTTGATAAGACTTTTAATCTTGTTAGACATATTTCAAAGTTACTAGTTCAACTTTGAAATTTCATTAAAATTCGCATAAAACTCTATTTAGGCAAAACCACTTTTATTTGAAAGCTTAACATGTTATAAATATGTCACAAAAATTGAATTTCCAAAAGGTCTTTCAGTAAATATATTTTTTGAAAAATGTTAGGTTGTTTACAAAAAAATCGTACATTGTCATTAATTTGGAAAATTTATAAAAGAAATAGCATAGTAAACTCATTTAGATGTCTTATTTAGAAAATAAATAAGAAGACACAAAATCCAAGTCGAATTTTAAAGAAAAAATTTGTATTAGCTTATTATCACACAAAATTCTGTGGAAGACATTAATTCCACAATATGCACATATCCCAAGAGGTCTTTATTCCAAAGACTTAACATGTTCCCACAAAAAAAATGGTCCATTGACCCACTTTTTAAATACCCTTTTAGTACTAAAAGCATAATTTTATTAGTAATTTTTGTTCTGAGGAAGGGTAAAATGGTCAAAAGTTCGTTATTAGTGAGGACATAATGGTTAACAAACATTTGGCTGCTAGAGAAGAGAAAAGAACAGGGATGGTGCATGTTAGCAACATTGGAGTCAACTGTTTTTGCCCTTTTTCGACATCTCAACGTCCAAAATCACTTTCGAGACCACCCACAGAATCCCCATCACCTCCTCTAAAAAGCCCAAGCCTCTATTTGCCATCATCACTCACCATTTCCCACCACCACCTCCATTCACACGGCCGACTCTTCAAGTCAGATTTTCGATTGTTTTCTATGTCGAAATCCACCCTGAAACTCACTGCCTCTGACATCCTCTTCCCTAAGCCTCTCTTACACTTAATCCGTTCACCCTAAGCCTAGTGTACTTGCCAATCGCCAGAAATCGTCACCTGAGTTTTTGTGCGATTTCCCATCTTTTCGGTCGATTTAGTCACCCAAAATGCCCTCAACCACCATCGTTCGACTCCCCACCCTCAGCTCTTCAAAATCCACCCCTCCCCGAACCCTCCATGATCACCATTTGTTACCTTTGTCCAATTCTTTCCACCGTAGGATAGTCACGATTTGCAACGGTTTCCTCTACAAATCGTTGGGTTTTTGGTGCTTGATTAGTGGGTTTTGATTGGTTGTGTTGGTGTTGTGTTTTTTTAGGCCACCATTCTCTCCTAGGTCACTCCAACTTCGCTACCCCAAAGTCACTCACCACCTATTCGATTTATTGTTGCACCTAGCCCCCAACCGGCAATGGAAGGGTGTTTTCGTAAATTACTTTGTTTCCCACCCAAAACATAATATTTGGGTACTGAAAGGGTATTTAAAAATTGGGTGGATATGAATTTGTCAATGGGCCATTTTTTGGGTGGGAACATGTCATTAACTCTTATTCCACATTATAAAAGAATCAATAAAATTGTGCAATAACTAGAGGTGCCCAATCGACCTTTGCTGGGACTGGGCAGGATGTGTCCATGATTAAGAATAACCAACTTGGAAAATATTAGTAAAGAGATGATAAGAGAACATAGACAATTTTTAAAGTAGTTTGGCCAGTTAGAATCAAGCCTACGTCCATTGTTATGTTATTACTTTATATTTACTTTACACACAAGGTAGTTACATGGAAAACACACGTAAAAACGAGATGAAACTCTCTATAAGTGGGTTTCATGTTCCTTGTATGACTAATCAATCCCTTAAAATGGAGGTGGTTTCTCCATTTTATACACTGTCTGATAGTGGTTGGGAGTTATTGTTACGAGGTGGATTACACACATAATCCCCCGTAATACGGATTTAAGTCAGGCCTCCCTATACTTAAATCTAAACACTAATATACTTAAGACAGATAATCTTGCTGGTAAAGTTATCTACTGTGAGAGCAACACATGGGATGAGCTTAGCCATCAGATCTTAACATGGTGGAAGGACAAGTGGCACGACTCTGTTAGTTGAAAAGTCCACATGGGATGAGCTTAGCCATCAGATCTTGATGCCATAATTCTTCTATTTTTCTTTTCCTTGGTGTTTGTTATTTTTTTCAACTCATGATATACATACAAAATAAACCTGTAAAGTTTGATGTAATGTACATACTTAGAGGAGTTTATATTTCTTAAAAATATTATATCTATTCAATATAAAATTACTTGATTAATGCTAAATAAGTACTTTATATGATTAAAATAAAAAAAATATATTAATAAGACGAAGAATTTGCATTGTAAAATTAGGTGATTACAAAACTTTTTATTGAAATTTTTATTCGTTTAGTTTTAAAACCATGAAAATATGATGAGTGAAACTTTGCTGCTTCGATTCCAAGTAGTAAGTGATAATTAATTTTTTTTTTTTTTAAAGACCGACATGTCATCTTATTCATACCCTTGACATTTTACTATTTCTTGTCTATATATATATATATATATATTTTTATCAATTATCATCATAATTGATTAAATTTAAAAATATAAATATAAGATTTTATAATTTTTATTGAATCTAGCAATATTATTCCATTCCATTCATTTTATATTTCAATATTTTCCCTTCTCTCATTTAAATATATAAATAAGTAATATATATATTATTTTGATCTATTATTATGAAATTAATAAATTTCATTGGAGGTGGAGGGAGGAATATTTTTTTTGATTATTTTTAATAGTTTTGGGAGAAATAGAATAAATTTATAAACATACGCACACGCAACCTAAGGTGTGAAACTCAACCCTCTTGTTTTGCAGAGATTTGCCCAGATCTCTCTCTTCTAGAAACTTCTTTTTCTCAGAGAGGAGCCGTCAGCCATGTCCACACCTGCAAAGAAGAGGCTGATGCGCGACTTCAAGCGGCTCCAGCAGGATCCACCCGCCGGTATTAGTGGCGCCCCTCAAGACAACAACATCATGCTCTGGAACGCCGTCATTTTTGGGTATTTTCTCGTTGCCTTCTTTCTTCTTTTTCTTTCTTCTATTTTCGTTTTTCCTCTTTTGATTTGCGTCTCTCTTTTGTAGGCCTGATGATACACCGTGGGATGGAGGTGGGTATTTCTTTTTCTTAGTTTTGCAATTAGTGATAGTTTTGTTGGGTTTCTGATTAATTTTAGCTTCTATTATGATTTATTTGGCTGAATTATTAATTTTTCTTGTTATTAAGCTGGTTTTTAAATGATTTATTACTGGTTGTGCTGATGATTTGGATAGAACATCGTTGAATTTGGTTAGGGTTAGGTCGTGTTTTGTTGTGGATGATTAATTAGGGCTTGGTTTATACTGATTTAATTTCCTATATAATTCTCGTTTAAGCAACTGGGTTTTGCTTGTCTAATCTTGTTTAAAGCTCCGAGGTTTCATTTGACTAGTTTCGAAAACTCTTTTTTCCTTTTATCGTTTTTTCTTTTTGGTCTTTGTTCTTATGTTGGTTATATTTTGTGGTTTTATAAAATTATTGTGTTACTAACGGTTAATTATTTAGTTATTTTTCCTTTTATTAGATGATTTGGTTGGACAAACGTTAATTTGAACAAAATGAGATATTTTGTATGGAGGCTTTTACTGTTTACAAATAGGTTAATAACTATCTGATAGAAATTTTCCTAAATTGTTGTAGGTAGAATGAATTGATTGTGAAAAAGTTTGAAAAATAGTTTCCAACAACATTATAAGACTTTGAGGGATGGGAATGTCACCAGGTTTATGTTATGCTGTGCTTTCTTTATGCAGGAATTGAATACCTGCTTTTAGTGCAAGAGCTTCCTTTCTAAGCAGAATTTAAATACTGTAACACCCACTATTGTTGATATGGCCACATCTTTGCAAATTTTAGAGTTAAACTTTTATTTAGATCAGTTTGTTCAATTTTTCTATTTCAATGCTTTAAACTATTTGATGTACGCAAAACATTTTCTTTAGTTTCCTATTTTAAGTAAAAAAAATTTGGAGACAATAAGATTCTTCAAAAATCACCGTAATCTGAAACATATGGAAGAAACAGAGTTAAAAGTTGAAGTGTAGCAGTAGCACAAATATTTTAAAATTCTTACATCAGAAGAATGAAAACCTTTATGCTTATTTATTTTAAATATCCTTATAATTTATTTCCATGTTTGATGTAAGCATTTTCTTGAACTTGTTCAGGTACGTTCAAGTTGACTCTGCAATTTACTGAGGATTATCCGAATAAACCTCCAACAGTTCGGTTTGTCTCGCGGATGTTTCATCCAAATAGTATGTTACTGTCTTATTTCTAATTTTTGTTGCTGGATTTTTTATTTAATGATGTTTTCTATTCTTCTTCTTTATCAAATTTGGTGATTGCTCTGACTTTCTGGATTACATGGCATGCTGTTTTGACTGTGATTACCTTGATTTCTCACTGTGTCTATGAATTTGATCAGTCTATGCAGATGGAAGCATTTGCTTGGATATTTTACAAAATCAATGGAGTCCTATATATGATGTTGCGGCTATTCTGACATCTATCCAGGTGATATTTTGTTTGGTTTTTCTTTCTCCTTAATTGTTCATGGGAAATTGATTTGATTGAACTTGTTTGTTTTTACTGTTCTGAATTTCATGCAATTAACTTTGGTCACTGGAAACTTGCTTGCAATGTCCTCTTTTGTTGTTTGAAGATAAAGAAAAAAAAAAATGGGACTAGTTACATGGGCTTCGACATTCCCTTTTTTTGGTTATTGATTTGTTTATACTGTTTCCCCCATTTTCCTTATTATTTGAATTCCTTCGGTTCAATGGAGGTGAGGGGATAGCTTGAATGAAATTTCCAACTGAGGTGTACCCATGATCTCAGTGGCTAAATGTATGTCAGATAATCTGATGATGCTGATAAGATATTAAAAGCTTGAAGTCAGAAAGCCTTTGTTGGCCTAGAAGTTTGTTATATGGATCATGTTATTAATATTTTACTGTTCTAAACAAGTTTTAAGACATTATTCAAAATGTTCGAGGAAACAGATATTACTTTGTTTTCACTGGATTAACTAAAGGATGAGTCTTCCAGTTTTAAGATAATAAGGAACATATTTGAAAGAACTTGTGTGCAACATACCAAGGTTCTAAAAAGAATTAAATCTTGAGTTCTTGTTATCGGTTGCCTCAGTCAGTACAAACTGCTGGTTGTTTTGTCCCAAATTGATTAATGATTTTCCCTACTGTACTTTCATGTATCTGTTCTACAAATAAGAAAGAATGCCATGCAAAAAGTCTCTCCTCTGGATTGCCTCTGTTATGTGAGGCTTCCTGTTAGTAATATGCAATTGCTTGCTTGGTCTCTATTATTCTTACGCAGATAGGAAGCAGATTGTAAGCTTGTGAGACGCTTAGATTTTGTGATTTCTATTAATTTCTACTATAGGAATCTGAGGAATTTTTTGCCAATTGTCTCATCCAGAAAAATGATGTAAAGAAACTGAGTGTGGTAGCTCCTATAAAAAGTATGAGTCTGTTCTTCATTGTTTCTATGGACTAGACATCATTGACCTAAAGTGTTGGCTTACCAAGGAAAATGATTTACTTCTCATAAATTACTAGTGATTAAGTCATACTGACTGTGAAATTCTAACTTAAATATATGTATTTTCTGCCAGAGTTGTAATGTGACATTGCAAAGACCGATACAAATGACTAAATGAGTCTTAGAGCTGTGTAATCTATCTCGATCTTGAAAAAAAAAAAAAAAAATTAGAAACGCACCAAACCTTTAGAATTGTGGAATTTTTAATCTTGTTCACAAGCTGTGTGCGAAAATGATTGAAAATGGATGGTGGCCTCGGAAGATAGAATTTGTGGAAAGAATTTTACTTGTAAAGAATTTGAGTGTTAGTTTGTCTAGACCTAAGGTTGCTGAGAAGGTATCGAAAGACATGTGTATAGGTCATACATTTATCTTCACATTGTTGGGAGGTTAAGGCGTTAGGAAGAATGTGGACGTAGAAAACAGAGAGGAATAAAGATAAACTTTGGAGTTGGATGTCATGACTTGGATACAAATATGCACAGAGAAATTGGAGGAAAATGTTTCCGGAAGATTTTTAGTTGCAGAATAAACCAAAAGAGAAGACAATTGCAATTTCCTTATTAAGTTTCAAATACTGGCTTTTGTTTGTCATGAATACAAAGAAAAGTAGTAATTATGCATGCGTCCTTCAAAGAGCACGGTAAGTGATGGACAAAGCAATTGCTTTTAGCATGCCTCTTAGGTTGTTTATTTCAATTAAATTTCCGTTTCTTATTTTACTAGAATTAGCCAGTAACAGAAAGGGCCTTTGGNAATTTTTAATCTTGTTCACAAGCTGTGTGCGAAAATGATTGAAAATGGATGGTGGCCTCGGAAGATAGAATTTGTGGAAAGAATTTTACTTGTAAAGAATTTGAGTGTTAGTTTGTCTAGACCTAAGGTTGCTGAGAAGGTATCGAAAGACATGTGTATAGGTCATACATTTATCTTCACATTGTTGGGAGGTTAAGGCGTTAGGAAGAATGTGGACGTAGAAAACAGAGAGGAATAAAGATAAACTTTGGAGTTGGATGTCATGACTTGGATACAAATATGCACAGAGAAATTGGAGGAAAATGTTTCCAGAAGATTTTTAGTTGCAGAATAAACCAAAAGAGAAGACAATTGCAATTTCCTTATTAAGTTTCAAATACTGGCTTTTGTTTGTCATGAATACAAAGAAAAGTAGTAATCATGCATGCGTCCTTCAAAGAGCACGGTAAGTGATGGACAAAGCAATTGCTTTTAGCATGCCTCTTAGGTTGTTTATTTCAATTAAATTTCCGTTTCTTATTTTACTAGAATTAGCCAGTAACAGAAAGGGCCTTAGGTTCTTACTGTTTGGCCAGTAACAGAAAGGGCCTTTGGTTCTTACTGTTTGGTAGACTTGATTGATTATTACAGAATGACGTGAGGTTCTCCCCAAAATCTATTTCTCCCTTTCCCTAATTGCTGGTGTTTGCTGATTTCTTATTCTTCTAGATCCCCCCCATTCATTTCTTCCTCTTTCTTCTTTTTTATCATATGGGTTCTACTTAAGTTTGAAGTTGCTTTAACCAAATTGTTATAGAACTGTGCAACAGAAGATAAGAGAGGTGAAAAGAGAAATGGGGGAAATCACAGGGATCAGGAATAGAAGGTGATAAATTTGTGGTAGAAACTAATATTTTATGCATTAATAGTTCTTAAATCTGCCTAAGAATAACACTTAACCTTTTTTATTGTGGTCAATCCTAAGTAACATAGGAAATACAAATAAACTTAAAATTAGTAATCTAAATACCACTTAAATAAGATAACTAAATTTGATCTGAACAGGAAATAATTTGACTGAAAATTTTAATTGCTTAAATGAAAGATTTCCTAAAATAATTAGTTTCTATAAAACAACTATACCTAGATGTTCACTGAGTTTTAATTTGGGGCTTCTTTCTGAACCTACAGGGGTTCTTTCCGAACCTACAACCTTGATAGCTAGGAAACTTCTGAAATATAATTCTTCAAGTTGGTGGCTCAAGGTGACTTGACATTTGGAGGTTGATAGAGTGCTTAAACATGGACTCTAGGAAATAATATAGGAGTTGTTGTCACACATGGATTGAGCTTATGTGTAATACTTCTTCTTAAATGCTTGAAAATTACGCAACTAAAAGCATTGCCAACGTTAATTCCTGCAATTGATACTTCTGAATTAGCTATACATGATGATAAAGAATGCATCTTTTTATTTTTACTCATGTTTTGACAATTCCATCATTCTGTTCTATATTGTTGTAATTCTGTGTTGTATTCTTTAAATTGAAATTAATCTTTTGCACAGGTGGCATCTGCTTTAAATTCTGACTCTCTTACATGATAATGACGTACCATTTAGCATTATCTTTGTTTCATACTGGAGTTCAGACAATTATTAGCTCAGGGCATTTTCTTTAAAATTGCATAATACTTCCATTTGGTTGGTTACTTATATTGCTTTTACAATTTTGGATTCATACTTATCAATTTAGTGTTTACATGCAATTCAATACAATGTGAAAGTGAATATTTTGCAATGCTAACTTGGCAAGCTTTTGTTTGTATGCCAGTCACTGCTTTGTGATCCAAATCCAAACTCCCCTGCAAACTCAGAAGCAGCTCGCATGTTTAGTGAGAACAAGCGAGAATATAACCGAAGAGTGCGTGAGATAGTGGAGCAGAGCTGGACTGCTGACTAAAGGCCGAAAGAAAGCGCCGGAAACTTGTCTCTGCATGAGAAATGGAGAGTGCTTGTGGTGGGTCTGAATGTCCCTACACTTGTTAGATAATCTGCTTTCGTGTGCATTTTCTTAGGAGATTCCTTTGGATGTTTTCATTTCTGGCTTCTAGACAGCCCTGGTTGAACGCCTTGATTTCTTAATGTTTTTACTGATTCTTCTTTCATGTAATTGTAATTTGTTCTGTAGCCTCTGTATAGGAATATTGTTGTTGTAGTGATGCTTTAGACAATCAATCTCTCATCAGAGATGAAAACAGAGCACCTGTTTTACTGGAATTTTATTTAGTGGGCTTTCAGATGTTATGAATGTCTATCAACTCTCATCTTGCATTGTATTTACTAAGATTTGCTTGTTTGCTCATATTGATGAATTTGCAGATATGATGGTGATGCTTGTATGCAGATAATCTCAAATCCCAGTGTCCTCATTACAACGGAAATTTACGGCTTCTACCTTTCCAGCATTGTAATTTTTCCGATAGTATAGATCCTTGACCTTGTAAGAGTATTTGTTGTTATGTTACCAGGAGTAAAATCTTGGTGATAATGCCGAAAGAAAGATTTTTATTTTGTATCAGGCACAATGCACAGATAATTTTCATCTCTTTTCTTTCTCACTGAAAGAGTGAAAGGCATAGAATTAAATATGCAGTGCGGAGTTAGCAATTGAGTGTTATCAGTTATGTGCTACATCATTGAAGCTGATGTGCACGGTTGTCTTTATAATGCCCAGAATCAGATTTGCAGTTGCGAAAGGAAACCGAGCTGGGAATTGATTAGATTGATTTCCAGTATTGGTAGATGCATCTGGAGTTGAAGATTGATTAGATAGCGCAAATAATGTTTACATAATTATGATTTTATAGATTAGACGAAATGATCTGCTAACTGCCACAGAATCTATGGCTATATAATATTTTTACTTCATACCTGTGATCCATCGTGTAATATATAGTATGTTTTTCCAAAATTCAGATTCAACCCATAAGGAAATAAGAATGAAGAGAAACAAACAGTTCTTGCCAAAAAATTGGGCAAGGTACTGGACACATTAATAATATCATTAATACAGCTTGTGTACTATCCCTTCTAGGCTCTAGCTCTAGCTTCCATCTCACACCTAAAAAGCAGAACAATATCCCCTTTTGACTGTTACGAATTATTCAATGCATCAGAATTCAAGGGATACGTGATCTGCACCACTGATCTTATCATTCAGGGAGTCATGAAGTGTAGCTCTGAAGTTTGAAGGACTAGACAAGCATCATACAATAGAACAGTATTTCACGGTTAGACAGTTTTCTGCTCTGGAAATTGGTATGGACAAGTGATCCTGCAACTTCTAGTTGGTTGTCAAAAGAATACATAACAAAAAAAAAAGGAGAGGGGTTGCAGGAAGATAGAAAACTTTCGGGCATTCTGGCCTGCCAGAAAGCTCATAATGTGTGTTACACTCTAGTAAGTTTTTATTCTTTTTTCTCTTGTTGCAACCTGTCCTGCCGTCCAAATTATTTTTGTTCTAATCAGTAACATAACGAAATGCCAAAGTGGAAGACCAGAAAGGTAGTATATTCAACTCATTTCATGTTTGATTTGCAATCTATCAGAATTTAAGGGAAATTGGCATAATATGAACCTGAAATTGCAGCTAAGGAAGGCTGAAGTGTCGGTGTGGAGGTTGTGTAGTGAGTAGGAGATCCTTCACTGCTCTGTGAGTCTCCACGCCATGCTTCCTGAACCTGAGCGCAAACTGCAAATTCCACAGAACATCTTCAACCGAAGGTCTATCTTCTGGTTCTTAAGTAGACACCTGACACAAATTTCCATCATTGTCTTCAGTGATTGATCTAAGCATGAATTTTTAACTGTGGATCAACATGCTCCTTCGAGAACTTCATCCTGCTGAGGCTTGCAACTGCATAATATTGAGTAAAGATGCTATTACTCAACTAATATAGAATGTCGACGAGTTCATACTAACCACTGACATGTATTGGTTATAAATAAGATGTTTTTGCAACATTCCTGAAGTTGAAGCCTAAAAGCAACATTCTGCACTAAGAGTTCACTGTATTCTGAAGTCTTTAAATGATTATGGATGAAAAAGCTATGTTAAAACTATATTTAAAATAAAATACCTAATAAGAAATTAGAGACAACATTACCTGATCTTTCAGAACATCCACTTCCTTCTTGGATTTTGGTGGTCTCCCCACAATGATTTCTAGTAAAATTAATCCAAAGTCATAAACATCAATCTTTTCTTCATGCTTCATCCTGCCAAGAAAGATTAAAAAGAACATCATTGATAATGTGAGATACGGAAAGCATTGAGGGCTTTCAGCTTGAAGTATCTGATGAAATTTCAGTATATGATTTATGACATAATATCATTTGAAGTACTTACCCTGCACTCATGCTCGGGTCTATTGGTCCAGCAGAAGGAATGCCATGACCAACCTGCAAGATTGCAGACCAAAATACCAACTCAAAATGCTTGGTCCGCAGAGAAAAGTAATCAGGCTAAGGAAAGGAAAATTTTCCTCTTCATACCTTTCCTGTAATTTCTGCTAACAATGGCAGGTTATAGCTGCTGATTTTCGCAACAAGATTCTGGTCTAATAGAATGTCTGTCGTCTTCAGATTATTTGAAAATACACCTGGCATGATCCCTGTGTGTAAAAACTGAATGCCTTTTGCTACCCCTATTGCAGCTGTTATACGTTGTGTCCAAGTAAGTGATTGTCGAGCTCGTCCCTCTGCCAATTACACCACATTTCAGAAGCAAATCAGTCATTCTATGAAGCTGATCTAGTTGGCCATATTTATAATTTTGTCAAGTAATCACATAGATGATCAAAGGTCAAACACTTTCAGCGAGTTCTGAACTAATATATGGGTGAGACTGAGAAACAATATATATATATTTGTGAATTACCAGATATCCAGCTCCTTAGTGTGCCATTTGGAACATATTCAAAGATGAGGAATATTCGGCTGACACTTGCATCATCCAGGTAACACTCAAAGCAGTGTCCTAGTGCGCTGACCAAATGGCGATGTCTGAGTTTCGATATCAGCTCTATATGGTGCATAAAGTTCCGGGTGCTGTGGCTCTTTTTCATTTTAAGGCATCTAATGGCAACAAAGGAGCCATCCTTCAGCTGACCCCTGTACATCTGAAAGCACAAAATATGTAAGATTTAGATAATGCCTCAAGAAGTTTTTTCTTTCCCATTTTATCGGTACCTGTCCTTGAGAACCTTCACCCATGAATGCAGATGTGTCAAAGTTGTTTGTAGCCTTCTCAAGCTCTTCCAAGGAAAATGTTCGATAAGCTGGAAGGCCAAGTGCTCCCAGCTTCATTGTTTGAGATATATACCCTTCAGAAGTGGCAAAACATCATATCAGATTAATTATTTAAAAATATTCGAAGCGTTACTCAACTGCATTCATAATTTGAAAGAAATGAAACTTACTTGCATCCGAGAGGAACTTTGAGGTGTAACCAGTTGAAGCATTCTCTGCAATTAATCTTGTTGTAGGCTTCTTGGAAGGCTTGTTGGCATTAACCCTCCTAACAACCAAGATTGCAACTCCAAGAAGTACAATTCCTCCAACAATCCCTCCACTTATACTCAGTGCAAGAACTGTTTTGGAGATTCGTTTCTGCTTCTTTCTCTGAGGTATGATCCCCACAGCTAAAGCTTCATTCTGACAAAAGGACAATGGATGTTGTTTTCCATATCCAGTATCTAGACAATTCCTAGAATACAGAACAACTCTGTTCTTAGAACCCGAAACTAGACAATCGGGTAAGTGTCCAGTCAAAAGATTCGACGACAAATCAACAAATTCAAGTGCAGCACTGCAAGAGAGATTGTTGAAAAGCTTTCCAGTGAGCTTGTTTTCGGCTATGTTCAAATAACTCATAGAAGGTAGGGACAGCAGTGATGTAGGAAATGGGCCAATAAATCTATTGAAAGAGAGATCTATTGTCTGAAGCTGATAATAGGAGCTCGCCTCAGTGGGGATCGCAGATCGAAACCTGTTTTTGCTCAGTACTAACGTAACCAACTTATTCCCAAGTTTAGGAAACTGAGGTCCAAAAGCATTATCTTCCAAGTCAAGCACTTGAAGGTATGTCAAGCTACTAAAATCAGGAACTTCTCCATAGAAATGGTTATGCGAAAGCGAAAGAATTCTAAGATTATCCAAATTGCTAAGTGAATCCGGCAAAGTACCATTGAACAAATTCTTCCTCAAACTCAGTACAGCCAAGACTGACAGTGACCCCAACCAGTCTGGTAGCTGACCAGCCAGCAGGTTTTCATCAAGTATGAGTGTTTGGAGGCTAATTAAATATGAAAGCTCTTGAGGGATGGAACCATGCAGAAAATTTGAACTCATATTAAGTATCTCTAGAGATGATAAACGCGTAATTTTACCAGGTATCTGGCCCCATAAACCAAGCGAAATGAGTGTAAGGACTTTCAAGTCCGGAAGCTTGACAAGAGTTGTTATGAAGGAATCAAAGGAAAAGTTTAAAGGTAACATAGGAGCTCCCTTGTTTCCAACAATGTGCAGCTGAGTTATGCTGTCTTCATAACAAACCACTGTCAAAGATGAACTTGGTTCAGTACTACAGAACTCTGTACTACTATTCCAGCTGCTTAAAACAGTTGGGTTGTTTAAAAGCCCTTGAATTCTTAAAAGGGTCTGAGCCTGGGAAGACTTTAGCTGTTCCGAATGATTGATTCGAAACAAAATGAAAACAAGAACCAGAAGAGCAGAATGACTCAATTTGAAACCTTTTGCCATCAGTGCATAAAAAATGTGCACTAGGAGAAAATTACACAAGATTATAGAGCTATCAGGGACTAGGAAAACAGTAAAGGAGCTAAGAAACCAACATCCAGTTGAAGTAACAATCTTGTGGGCTCTATAAATTCCTGAATTTCTTGCTTCTTAATTACTTAAATTCATGTTCCCAAGACCAACTGAAGCTCTGCAAGCATAGCCATATATAAACAATTTAAAGACGATAAGAATTTATCAGTGGACTAAAAGTAAAATGGAAAACAAAGAATGCTTTATTGAGGAGTTAATTCTAACCAAATGCAACATAAAAGACAAAATAAATCTCTACAAGTCTGCAAAACTGACTTGAAATTGTCCATAAATTTATTTAGCAACAGTTAATGCTGCATTTCTTATTTTCAGAGTGACACAGACTTTCTCTTTATCTCAAGCATAAAACAGTTTATGTTATCCATTAAAAGAGAGAGAGGGTTTCTTTCAAAAATCATAAAAATGCTTACCTGTTGAAGAGCAGATTGAACAAACTCCTGCAAATTCAAGGGTTGTTGGAACAGTGTCTTCTCCTTCAGAACAAATTCACAATTAAATTTGTGCTTAATTATGCTTTAAGACTTTAAAAGATCACTTAAAACCAACTTAACACATAATTCTGACTTCCAAATGAAGAAATTCCCTGGCTAACACAAAAAAGGATTCTTTACAAACAGAACAAAGTAACCCAAACCCAATTCAGATAAAAAATATATCACACTATTTCTGTATTCAAAAAGCAACTCCAAAAACAGTAAAATAATTGAATGTTGATGATAATTTGACCACCCATTTAAAAAAAACTACAAAAACTTACCAACCATACACACAAACAAATCCTACTGATACATAGAGCTTGCTTTTCTCCTGAGGTTCTGCGAACAAGCCAAGACAATTTAATGACAGGGGTTCTTTTCTAAGAAACTTGTAAAGATTTCACCTCCACACTGACCTGGAATTCCCACAAACAGACATTTCTTCTCTTTGTCTTTTTTATAACGCCATAATTGTATATGATAGTAAAACTAATGGCTTTTTCTTTCTTCCCGAACAATTAGTTTTTGTGGTTTGTTTGTTCAGTTTTCAAACTCCAAAGAGATTAAAAAAACAAAAGCGAAAAAGTAAGATTCTTGGAGAAGAGAAGCCTTTATTCCTCTGTTTGTTCTTTGTTGCTTTCTTGCATGCAATAATTTTAGTAATGAATAAATATATTCATCATGTGGGGCGACTGAGTTTGGCCTTAGATTTGATGCGCCATTAGTATACAAACAGTAAACTTAATTACTGTATTTTTTTTTTAATGTAGACTACAGATGAATATCTAGTCCCTAACTTCACAAACCTTAAGATCCAAAGTCAGTGATCAGATACTCACCTTTGGTGTGCATATTAAAAATTTGAAGACATCAAAACTAAGAATTTTCATATATTTGTCAATTTCCAGTATAGATGTATTCCAATATATGTAAAAATAAAAATATAGACATGTAGATTGAGTTAGAGTGTTAAAGTGGGTATTGCAGAGAGTGTGATGTAAGCTTTCACTTTCTGGGACTGGTGACTGGTGAGGTTTGGCTTTCACCTCAAACGTGGGCACCACGTTCTTTTCAGTCTGTTGCTTTTGGCGCGTTTCTTTCTTCTTACAGTTAAATTAATTCCTTTCAACTCATATCTAGATTTGGTCTGTTTTATACATACATGAGTATAATAAATTTTCATTTTAATAGAATCAATTTTTAGGTTTTTCCTATGTATCAGGATGAATATTATAACCCAAAGTTTATAAAAATTTTATGATTTAGTAAACACAAAGATCTTTCTGTTTAATTTGTACAGAATTTATGTAAATATTCAAATTAAAGTAATATTTATAATTTATTTTTAAAAATTAATTCAGTTTCTTTCCAAAATTTGTCTGCCAAGTAGTTAACTCTCGCATGTTCTTCATTTTATTTTGGTGGGCACTTGAAACTTAAAAATGTGTCTTTAATAGTAGGAAGATTAATTAGAGTCAATGAACTTAATTACTTTTTAATAATATTGTATTTGGTTAGCATCCCCTCTTATTAAATATTATAAAGCAACTATTAGTTGAAGATGAATATGATGGTATCTCAACTCACAAGTTTATTTTTCACTTGGATCTAAGCAAATTTTTTTTTTTTTTTTTTATCATCAGGGTGTCTGAGCCAGTTTGCGTGCTCCTCACCTAATCTTTCAGGGCCTTAAAATTGCTAACTGGGTAATTTACCTAGTAATCACTCCTATTAGTGTTTGAGAGACTCAAACTTAAGAGTTCATGAAACTTTTTTTTGTTTTTTTACTATCAGGGTGATGGTTGATCTGACCAAATCTTATTCTTCACTATTTGAATTATTTGATAAACTAATAAGTTACACTTTTTAATTATTTTAATTAGAATCCAAGATCTTGACTATTATTATAATACAAGATACAAATATTGAATTAAATATTTGATATAAATTATGAAGTGTTTTTTATTCTAAGTAAGTAATTATAATTTTTCTGAGTAAATTAATAAAAGTATTTGCTTTTAATGCAAATTAAGTTGACTTGTTAGCAGTAGATTGTAGTATGAAGTTACACTGATTAATCTAGGCAACCACTTCATCTACCAAACTAAAAAACAATTAAATGAAGATACATAAAATCTTATTTATTGGAAATTAAAATAAATGAAAAAGTAAAGGTTTATGGAAATACAAATAGCATGTGGGATGATGTATTTGGTTTGATAAAGTTGAGCCAAATTCTCTGAAACACTAAAACTTACAGGTGTCTTCCATTTTATGCCATCAACCTCCAGTCCAGCCTGTCTCTTACTGCTCAACTAATACCTATAATTTCATTTCTATTTTCATTTTCATGGTATTGAAATTTCCTTCTCCTTTTTTGAATTCCTCTGCCACCATGTTTTTGGTTTGTTTCAGGTTTGTCAGTTTGCACGTACTTTAACTAATCTCCAAGGTCTATTTAACACCTTACAAGTTCAAAAGACCAGATAAAGCGACCTTAAAGTTCAAACCCAGACACTCAATGAGAGACCCAAACCTCTTTGACCGCCAAGTCAATCCTTTGGGGTTGACAAAAAATCTGTTGCTAATGAAAATCCAGCAATATTATAACATCAAATAGCTTAAACTAAAACATCAAAAAGCATCTCATTTTAATAATATTTTCAAGATCCATAAGATTATTAAGACTCCAAAGCCACTTAATTAATTCCTTTGGTACAATAATTTTCAAGAATTTGTCGGTGAAAAAAAAAAAAAAAGGTTGTGAATAGGGAAAGGAATTTCATTAGAATGAGTATGGATAGGAAAGTTTTAAGAGTTGAAGAGACAATTAGTAAAAAGTGATAAAGAATAGAAGAAGCACCAAACTCACCATGAAATTGAGAGCTTTAATTTGTAATGGGTATTTAAAAGTGGTAGAGCCCATTTGTCCTTTTCTTTTTGCCTTCTCTTACAAACTAAATTATTAAAATTTTCCAAGAAAAAATCGAAACTTCAAACTCCTCATTATTGAAAACTTTTTGTTAGAGTAGAAGATTTCATCATCAAGATAAGATATGAGTGTTTCTTCAATAACATAGAATGGCCATACATTTCCACAACTTTAATTGTAGGGGGACCTCATGTCCCTCCTACCCTTCTAGATTTTGAAATGGCAATTAAAACTTCTGTTAAATATTTTAATTCTTTTTGGTTTATTTTGATTTTTGAATAGATTTTTTAATGTTTGAAAATAAAATATTCCCATATTGGTTTGAATATATATTGTATTGCATTTTAATTCAAGATAAAAAGTGGTTTTAATTAAATTTTTGTAACATTGATAGATTTTGAAGAATCAAACACCTTCTTTAGCATACAAAATTAATAAAGTTATAGTATACGGAAGAAGAAGTAAATTTGGTCATAGAAAACCACCAATAGATGATTTGATGATAAAAGAATAAAAAAAGGGTTTTATGAGTTTCTAAATTTGAGTTCATCTAAGCAGTAATAAGCGTGATCATTGTGTCTCTTACTCAACTAATAGTTTTAAAATTTTGAGAGATTAGTTGGTACGTACAAATTAATTTATCCAAAAACCCTCTGTCATCAAATAAGAGGAAAAAAAAAAAAACAGGTTGGGCATTGAATTGGCAATATATTAAAGGTTGTTTATTATTATTGTCAACTTTTAGAAGACGAAAAAATGAGTAAAGTTGTTATCATTCTAGGAAGATCTGTTTAGAAATTAGCGATTGTCTTTTCCAAAAACAATAATAACCTTCACTTTCACACTTTCCTGCCAAGTTTTTCATTTCCAACATTGGGTGGCAACCAGCTGGCACATAATACTGGTCTTTCATTTGAGAATTTCTCCGTATCAATTGTTTGTTAGAAGAAATGACATGAGCAGTCACAATGTGTGAAAGACTTGTTGAAATAAGATTCGTTCAAATTAAAAGATTCTTAACAACTTTACAATCTCTAAAAGAAGATGGACTAATGTTGAAAAATAAAACAAAATTATACCACCAATAAAAAACTAAAAAAAAAAAAATACTTAAGTCAAATACTAGATCAAGAAATTAGCGAATTGGAGAGAAAACTGTAAGTGTTTTGTGTGAGATTCTTGCAAGCTTGCTCCCTTGGAGAATTTATACAGCCACTATCTCCTACTCCTAAACATGTGGAGGGTTTGTCTCCCCATGTGTCACGTGTCTTTTAACATTTTTAAGTTTTGGGTCTCCTCTCTTCGGCCGAACTTTTTAGGTTTAGGCCCAGGCAGCCCAAATTTCCAACCTGATCTATTTTCGATCCTGAATATTATTATTGCATAATACTATACATATAATATTGACAAAAGATGATTGACATATTTTATATTAAAAATAAATCTTCACCCAATCATCTTTTGTCACATCGTGTTGTATGAAAATATTACATGTATAAATTATAATATTATTCTTTGATTCATTGTTTATCCCGTTTATCATGGACCGTATTGGGCTTCATCGAATTGGACTATGTTATTTTTACCCCAACGTTCATATCTTAGTAATATTCAAAAAATATTGAGTGGTGTTATTTTAAGCTCCACATAAAATAATAATTAATTTTTTTATAAATATTATATTTTATTCAACGATTAACTCTGGCAACTTTTTTCATCCTAAATCTCTTAGTTAACCCCATTATCTATTTTTCTAGGTAATTCTCATTACCAAAATTTTTTTTTTCGGGTATTTCATCTTTAAAACCTACATAAAATTATGTAATTTCCCAATACTTTCGGATACCACTCCACTATGTTAGCTTCCTTCTTTGTTGATAGAGTGGCAGGAAGAGCGAATAACGTTTCAAAATTGTGAAGGAAAAATTGTTTGCTGCATAAAGAGGATGAGGATGTTAACTTTTGTTGCAGTCTCGGTGGTTAGGATACTCGACTCTCACTTGAGAGACTTGAGTTCAAGTAATAGAACTTAAATTTTTCATTAATTATCCAAAAAGAAAGAAGAGGATTTGGAAGCGTTGTTTGTCTTAGGCTTGGTAATGTTAGCAACCAAAGTTGTGTCTAGGGATGGACGTAGGGTGGGTCGAGGTCGGGGATTGGGGTCTTTGGACCCGTACCCGACCCCTTGAGGGTTCGCCCATCCCTGGGACAAGGGGGTAGGGGAATCCCCAATGCCACTCCGTGGGGATGAGATGTTGTCCATCCCCACCCCGACTTGAGCCGAGGGTTGGGGAATTTTCCTCGAATGGCTTATATGAATTATTTTAAACTCTTTTTTAATATTGATTTTGTATAATTCTTTAGTTATAACTCTAGACAGTAAAATAAAAACTCATTGAAATATATGAATAAAATTTTGATATGAAAATAAATGTATATTTAGTTAATTTTTGAGTATATATTTTATTTTTGGGATTGGTTGTTTTTCTTCTGTTGTAGTTGTTTTTTTTTTTAATATATTAACTAGTTTTTGAAAGATACAATATGATATTGTGATTAGATTATTAAGTAATTAAATTTTATTGAATTAATTGACTAAATTTTAAAATATTATATAGAATATCAAAATTAAATATCAAGATTGATATTTGATAACTCATAAATCATAATCAATTATTTGATTTAATTAGTTTTTAATGAAAAAGGTTTAAAGA